AGATAGTTTAAGCTTTATATAATGAATGTTGTTACTTACCAAACTTACCTGTGGTATTGGTCTCTACGGATTGGAATGTTTGAAATACAAGTAGAAAACCAATTATGAAGATAATCATCATTTCAAGTAATGAATAGTTCAACTGAAAAGCATTTCTTTTACATTCTATGATTTATATATAATACCAATGATTCAATTCATTCAAATTGGTTAACAATAGCCTTCTTATTAAACTAATCAGGTATATTATTGGTTTAATAAGATTGTTAAACAATGTTATGGAATTAACTCAGTAAATATGACAGTTTATTTGACATATTTACATATTAATAAAGGTATATTCATGTATTATAGATTAGGTGGATGCTTTTTAATTTCATATTAAGAGGTGTAGTAAACATCTCAGATGTTTTGTTAATCTTTCTAAGCTATGACTATTCTTCTATGTTTTGTTATGTTTTGTTTTGAAAATACAAATATTTCACTTTAATTATTCATGATAGTCCTTCATTCAAGTTGTTATGAATCTCTGTACCTTCAAATACCTTGATGTGGCCAGGAGTGAGGAGAGTCTACTCTCACTGTCAAAATGCTCTTACATGGCCATGCGTATACAGTCACTGTCGGGGGAAGTCCTACTCACTGTCTTCTCGAAGCGGAGGGGGTTTTGTTCAAGAAATTGAGAAGATGAAATGTGAGTGTGTGGCGCATAAACCATATTAATGGATGCGATGGGTTTAACTAAGGGATTTCGAAAACCCTGATTCCAAATCAATGGTACACGAATAGTGTATGAACCAACTGTTGATCACCGATTGCATTTAGGTCGAAGGCTCCGGGTATGGCCCCCTAAAAAAACTACCTACTTCGGTCATGGCACCCGGGTAGTATAACTATCAACACACAAATCAAATGACTTGGGTTGACGCATATATATTCGGTGCTTCTTTATATCAATATTTATGTGTTGAACTAAATAATTGAATTTCGTAGTGTTCATGATATAAATTGACCTCACTAATGATCTAAGTTGTCTAACTACTGGAAAATTTTTATGTTCATAATTAAGGATTCATCCAGTGATTAGCAGCTATCATGACGAAACAGCTTAGTGTATTATTAAAGTGAAGTTATTATTCATGGAAACTAATTTCTTGTTAGGGATACTACCCTTAACTCAGGGTCTGAGAAGTCGGTAAAATGAAAATTTCGCAAATGCAATAAAAATGATCTTGGTGATCTATTTATAGTATTCCGACACCAGACAATAGGTTTAAGCGTTATTTAAGCCCTAACGCTTCAGGCTGGGCTATTTCGCTTACTACCCTACATATGTGTTGTATGCATTATAAGCTATAAGCTATAAGCTATATGGTTATGTATAGCTGAAGGTCTTATATGAGGTTGGAGGTTTGCCATTAGTATTGTGGATGGTTCGGCATTGCTTTGGCAAGTTTTGCTGACAGTTCATGCACAAAATTGGTTTGCTGGTTAACCAATTTCATTCATACTAGTGGTTGATTTCCAGTGTTCTCAAGGACCATTGTCATTGGGACATTGTAACACATGTCGCCACTGCTAACATTAATGAGTTTGACTGTCGTGTAAGCGGAATAGGTCAAATTTGGCCTGTTCGTGCTGTGCATAATTGATTCACGCGACCATTGATCGGAATAACTATACATGTGATGTGAATGTGTAAATGAATGGTGTGAATGGTCCACCAGGGTGCTTGTTATCGGTGTGGTTGCACCACAGGATTGAGCTGTACTATTCGGATTGTAGCGTTAAAGCCTATACCGTGTTTGCTTCTCCTGTGAAGCGCTATTGAGCTGTACTGCTCGGTTTATAAAATTTAAGCCTGAGCAATGTCTGGCTCACATGTTAAACGGGATTGAGCTTTACTCCTTGGGTTGTCGCGTGAAAGTCTGGACGGTGTCTGGTTCTCCTGAAAACCAATGTAAAATTACTCTGGCCCACAAGGGTATATTATATAACTGTAAATATAACTGAATTTCTTGTCATTTTCGTCTTAGAGAGAGTTTAAGAACTAAATGAATAATAACACTGGATACGGACAAATGTTCAGAGAAAAAATTTACACCATAAAAGTTTTGCAAATGGTATTATATGGATCTTAGAAACTAAAGTTCATTTGTAAACCAAAGACACAGGAAGAAGAGGAAAGTTGTCTATTCAGGCATATGGACAATACTGTTAACCCAACTAGGATTAAAATATCTTTCATTGTCATATATCTATCTGTTCCATTGAAACGTTTTTCATAAATCATTTATATGTATAGAGATATTTGCATTCTCTCCCCTCATTCTTTCTAATGTTTGTCGGTACTCACCTTTTAAATCCATTTATAATGACTTCAGAATGTGTGGTAATATCTACGTTTGTTTGTTGTGTAATTTTCACAAGTATAGTATCATGGGCTTTATCTAACTCCACCTGTAACGCTTCTAGGGTAACTGTCGGTCACAAGCCTGGGAAAGGAAGAGGGTTGAACATGGTCAAGATGAAACTGAAACTAAAGAAGCACTGAAAAACTGAGTAAATGGCACTACAAAGTTCAATACAGACTTCTATCGTGATACTGATAAACTCAACGAATTTAAGATAGCTCTTAACAACAGGTTTCAAGCATTACAATATCTATCCAAAAAAGAATAACCTTCTGTGAAGAGCGACTGGAAAGGGATCAAAGAAGCATTAACTTCAACGTGCAAGTAGGTGCCTGAACTAAAGAAATATCACCTAAAAAAAGGATCTCTATGGGATTCCTGGACAGGATTCAAGAAAGGAAGAACAAGAAGACATCAATTAATAACAGCAAACAACAGCAGAAAAACCTAAGGCACACGCTGAATATACATAAGCAAACAAGTGAGTGATGAAAGGCATTAGAACTGACAAGTACAGATATGTAGAAAATCTTGCAATGACAGCGGATAGAGCTGTAGGTGAAAGAAATATGAAACAACTATATGATATAACGATGAAGCTAGCAGGGAAATACAGTAAACCAATGAGACCAGTCAAGGACAGATTCAAGAAGAGAGGAACAGGTAGGTAGAACTTTTTTAAGAACTCTTGAAAAGAACAGCTCCACTGAACCCAACAAAAATTAAAGCAGCATCTATAGACCTTTCTATAGCTGTCATTACACCAAAGATCAAAGAAATCAACACAGTCATTAAAGAAATCGGGAGTGAGAAAGCAGCAGGACGTGACATTATACAAGCTGAAGCACTTAAGCCAGACATAGAAGTAACTGCAAAGATGCTCGACTTTCTACTTTGGAGGATTCGGGAGGAAGGACAACAGACAGCTGACTAGAAATAAAGATACTTCATTCAGCCCACCATCACCAAAAAAAAAGAGAAACTCAGAGGCATTACACTACTCTCAGTACCAGGAAACGTTTTCAACGGTGTTACTGAACCGGATGAATGATTCAGTAGACGCTCAACATCGATATCAATGTGCCAGATTCCATAAAGATCAGCCGTGCACAGACCGAACTTCCATGGCTATGAAGAAGCCCTTGACAGCGTAGATAGCAGAACCTCATGGGACCTTCTTCGACACTATTGTGTGCCTGAGAAGATCTCCAACATTTTACGGAATCCAAACGACGGACTACACTGGAAAGTCGTGCATGAAGGACAGCCGGCATAGGCATTTCAAATATGGGACGGTGACAGACAAGGTAATTACTCTTACTTGTTCTCTGTCTTTTAATGGTTGACTGGATTATGAAGTTCTTGACATTTAACTGGAAATGCGGAAAAACAATGGACAGACTGGATGCAACTAGACGATTTCGATTTTGCAGTTGACCCACCTCTTCTATCGCGTATGCATCAACAAATGCAAGTGAAGACAAATAATGTAGCAGCAGCTTTTGCATCAATTGACATCAACATACACAAAGAAGAAAGAAAGATCCTCAGACACAACACGGAGGGCACCAAATCATTCACGCTTGATGAACAAACTGTGGATGACATGGAATCTTTCACGTAGCTAGGAAGTATCATTGATGAACAAGGACCATCCGATGAAGACGTAAATATGAGGATTGGTATAGTAAGTACAGTATTCATACAGTCGAAGAACATATAGTACTCAAAATAATTAACAACCAATTTCAAAGTCAGAATCTTCAATACGAACATCAAGGCAGTCCCACTATACAGAGCTGAAACTTGAAGAACTACAACAACCAACATTAGGAAGGTATAAGTATTTATAACCAACTGTGCATGAAAGATACTCAATATTCGTTGACCGGATATTATCAGCAACAGCCGACTCAGGGAGAGAACAAACCAGCTTACAAATGAAGAGGAGATTGAGAAAAGTGGTTTGCAGTGGATAGGACATACATTGAGGAAATCATCAATCTGCATCACAAGGCAAGCCATAACTTGGAATCCTGAAAGGAAGCAAAAATGTGGAAGACCAAAGAGTACACTGCGTTAGGAAGTGAAAGCAGATATGAAAAGGATGAATAGCAACTGGAAACAACTAGAAAGAGTTGGATGAACATTACTAGTAGGCGGCCTATGCTCCTATACTAGGGATGATAGGAGTAAGTAAGTAAGTAAGTATGCAAGTAAGTTTTAAATTGATTTGTTATAACTTCTCATTATAACTAGTGAAACAAAAACACAAGATTATTCATTGATGAATCACTACCTAATGTTAAGTTCCTTTTGTTCAAATTCATGAAGGATTTTAGATACATACGACTAAACAGATCTATACAAGCATGAAACAACTATCTGGTACTTTGTTATTCAGCTTCAAATCCAACTTTACCAATCATCAATGTCTCTATCGATTATTGTTATTATTATTATTATTAATTATCAATCATTATTAGTGTTTTGTAAAGGATAATGAATGTTTACTAACATTATAATAGTACATCTCTCTATCAGACATACACAATTGTACTGACTGATATAACCAATATAATGAAGATATCTCTTCTGTTGTTTCAATTGATTACTTGAATATATATGTATTTTAATGCATTTAAGTAGTTCACATGTATATAATTGTATTGAATTGAAGTAATGATTGGTATCATTATAACTCTATTCCTTCTAATACAATCATGTAATTCTGGTTCATCATCATCATCATCATCTAAGTGTAAAAGTATGTTCCACAATTGAATATTTACAACTATGTTATGTAATCAGATTGATTTGTACTATGATACTTACTAATCCGTTTAAAATGCTTTCATATGAAATTAACAATCTTCTTTGATTATAGAAGAGCAGTAAGTTAATCTATTGATAGTCTACCGTTCTCTTCGATTAGAAGTTTCAATAAACTGAAAATGATTATATTTTTGATTGAGATTATAAATTGATTGATGTTAGACCAATATTGAAAATCTGGGAGTATTGGACAGTTGTTTCATCTTATTATGGGACTACTCGTCAGTGCGTATCCATGATACCACTCACGTGACTCCAACTCTGGTACTGCAAGTGAACGTTTAACTTTCAGACCATTGAGTTGGCTGGCATTCAACTGTATTCATATCTAATCTCAACCAATTTACAGAAATTCGTGACCATCTTCTATTGTACTGAGGTAGATACCCGTCTATATCTAATATAGATTAGCTCCATTGGTCACAGCTCCTCATTAGAACTTCTAGTATTCCCTCACGAAGCTAATTACTAGTGAGTTTTTTTAAGTACATATATAGTGACAATTATTCATACTGTATGCCTCTGAAAATTTTACTTTATCAATCTCGATATAAATCACCTATTGTACACCATAAATCTATATACTTTGATATAATTGAATTCGTAATTTATGTAGAACAAAGTTGAATTGATCTAAACTAGAACACTATCAAAAACATGAAAGTATCGAACATCGGTTTCGTCTTGGTGTGGAACTCCTCAGGAGCGCACGTCCATTATCCTACATGTGCGACTCATACCCATGAACTTCGGTTTCATGCGCGAACCCTTAACCTATAGACCACTGTATCAGCATCCATTAATGTTAATGTCTAACCTCAATCGACTCATAATCATGCTCAACTTTCCATTCATTATCTAATGTGGAAATTTATATCAACTATAGATTAGAAAATGTTTTAATATACACTTAATCATATTAATTACCTATCTACATTTCTTTAAGGGGATCCTTTGCGTAAGTAACCGAATTTGTGTTTAGAAGAAATGTATAATGTAAATGATTTTAAAAAAATGGAATATTACTGAAATCAAAATTTCAATAGTTGAGATCATGAGTCAATTGAAGATAAACTACAATGAGAAACCTGGAAGCACTGGACGGACGTTTCGTCGTATTGTGGGACTCCTTAGTGGTAGCGTGCATCTATGATCCCGCCGCTCGAGATTCGAACCAACGATGAAGCGTGAGCACTTAATCACTAGACCACTGAGCCATTCGCCATCCAATGGTGTTAATGTCTAATTTCAAATCATTCATCAAATTAAGCGACACATCCGCCATTGGATGAAAAGGCCGTCCAGTGATTCCAAGTTTTTCATAGTGGTCTAACTGCAATTGACGCATGATTTCAACCATTGAAACTACTATCACATCCACGAAACCTCTTTTGATACACATCAAAATGTGTTCCTTTTTTAACTAGGACAAAATTGAAAATTATGCAACTAGTTGTATTCAATGAAGATAGTTTGGAATGGATATACATTACTTTGTTACTATACTGTTATTGTTTATAGGAATATTCATTTTAATGTTAAACTGTTCTATTTATGGTAGGAAATTCTGGTCAATAGTGGAGTAAGTCACTTGTTAAACTAATTACTTGATCATATGTCTATTAACCTTTTACTTATATGTATGAAAACTCATGACAATTGAACTACTTTGTTTATCAAGCCGTGACTAGTGGAGATCTACCATGTCGGTTGTAAGGCAAAAGATGATTGCTCAATATCATGGATTGGTTGAAGTGAGACATCAGCATTGTTAGATGCCTGTTTAGAAGTTTATAGGTTAGACGTTGACGTATGAGATTGAAGATGCTGGGTTTAAATCCCGTGTGCAGGACTGTATACGCACACTGTTGTAAAGTCCTATATTAGGACGAAACGGTCGTCCAGAGCTTCCAGGATTTCACTGGTAGTCTAGCTTCAATTAACTCATGAATTCAACTAGAAAAATCAAATAATTGTTTCATGGAATTTCACATTTTATTTGGCTAAAAAAACTAGGTTTGCAACTTGGTCGATAGAATTTGATCTGCACTAAGAAGGACCTGATGTTGATCACCACTGAGTGATCAATCAATTGTGAATACATCTCAGTCATATAGGAAGTTAGTCGCGGTTCGGATAGATAAGAGATAACATTTCTGAATATGAAGCTGTGTGACACGGGATCTAATCGGTCAGGGAGCATCAGTTCCCTCAAGATTATAGGTACACCTTACTGACGAGTGTCATATAGCACGAAATCCTGATCTTCGGTTAACTTTTGACTACATCCAACCACCATCTTATCTCAACATAGTGCACGCAATGTCTAGTCACCTAGACTAGCGGGCACATTGCAACTTAGTCTATAGGATTCGATCTGCACTAAGAAAGATCTAACAAACATAACAGTGATCAATCACCACCTAGTGACTAGTCACTTGTCAATATTTTAAATTATTTATTCATTTCTCACTACTAAAACAAAATGTCATTGTATCATTCGATAATTATGATTATGATTGAATGATTCCATCTTGTTCATTCACTCAACAGAATGATTATTGGATTCATTTGGTAAGTTGACTTATTGTTGTCAGGTGACTGTTCACAAAGGTTAATAGTTGTTAACATCACTATTATGTAAGTGATTGTATAATATACAATTGAATATATACTGTTATCGTTTGGACAATGATATAATACATATCACATTAGAAATGTTCAGAGTTACATACGTACAAATTATGATAAGACTCCAATCTACAGACGACCTTCGAGTGACCCTAGAGTGACCTTGAGAGTCTTAACCTACTTACTTGGACCAAATGAGGATTATAAAACAGTTTGAAGAAATAAAGATTATGATATACAGTTGATGATTAGAGTTAAGAAATTAGATTTACGGTTTTTCATCATAAACTGATATCAGCTTTAATGCTAAGATGCTATTGAACCAAACGGATAGGTGAATGGATTTCGCGCCAAAATCGAAGATCTGTTATCTTAAATCTGATTGGTTTGTTCATAAGTTATTATGTTTAAACGGATTTGTCAATATATAAATCTATGGAATATGGGGAATTCATTTCATTTTTTTGTTCTATAATAATGTATATTTGTATAGTTCACTAAATGGAATATGGTAAGATGAGTTGTATATTATAGATTATACTTAATCTAATATTAACCATACTAGGAGTTACTTATTCCTCTACTACACATCAAATAGTCATACATATATGCATACTGCAGTGTGATCTGTGTCGTGTGTGAGACAGTTATCTATCTCAGGCAGTGCAAGGTCATGGGTTGATTAAAGTTAGATATTAACACCATTGGATGCTATATTAGTGTTTCAGAGGTTAAACATTCGTACTCAATACCAGGGGTCTTAGGTTCGAGACCCGAATGTAAGATTGTCGATGAGCACTTCTGAGTTTCATACTAATAACGTCCAGTACTTCCAGATTTTCACTAATGATGTGTAACACTAATACCGTTGGATGCCAACTCAATGGTCTACAAATTAAATATTCACATGCAAGCTCGAAAGTCCTAGGTTCGATCGAGATTACTAACATACACTCTTGAGGGTTGCCATTCTATGATGAAATGGCCTTCTAAAATTTTATGGAGGCCCTTTGGTTTGTTGTTATTTAGATAGGATAATGTTTTTTTGACGGGTTTTCTAGTTTAGTGGCCCGGGATCTCACTCCAAGTAGATCGCATGAATGATCGTTGTCGAAATATATATGTCTCCTATCCTCGTATATAATCATCGACTTGAATCGAGTTCCTCAATAATGGAATCAAATAAGTCAAATAACGAGAATTGACTTTTGAATATATATATTTTGTATATGAAGTGAGTAGAACAGAGAGGAGGGAAAGGACGCACAGTGGAGTTGGCGGATAATCCAACTCCCATTTAACCAAACGTTAATCAATAAATATAGGCACATAAAAATAAGTTACAGACATGTGATGAATAATAGGATATGAAGTGTACACACACCTACGACGTGCTCATATAAAAACGATTAAGATTGATAAGCAAAATATTAATAAGGTTAGAATGTAAATCTAGTAGAATGAACAGATTGAGATGTCCGAAAGTTAGTCTAAGGTCTATCGGCTTAACATAATAATAACAGACACTACAAACACATCCAGGTTTCCAGTGATGGATTTGCTTAGATAGATTTCAATTGTGAAAATACATTTAAATAAACTGTGAAACACTTCAATAGATCCTTGAATAGATATCAGTTAAATAGTGTTATTATAAAACGTATCAACTAATCGTATAGTCGTTAATGTTTATACAATCAAGGCAAACTAACCAGTGTTCACTGAGTATTGATGGGATTATTATACAATTTTATTTGATTTTCTTATACATTGTCAGAAGGGGTTTTGTGGAGATTGTAGTAATTTCAATGATTAAGATCATGAGTCAGTTGAAGCTAGACCACCATGGAAAACCTGGAAGGACGAAACGGCCATCCAGTGCTTCCAGGTTTTCTATGGTGGTCTAGCTTCAACTGACTCATGATCTTAATCATTGAAATTATTATACATTGTTAATTATTTCATTTTCATATTTTAGGAACACAATTGAACATTGGTTAGAAGCATATAGGAACGCTATAAATGGTACTCCAGCGAAGAGATAAGACTCAACTATTCAAACTGAATTATGTAATCAGTTATATTTTCAAATATATCAAACAATGTTTCAAGTTATGCAATGCTTTCTTAGCAAAATTACATCACAGACGGGTTTTGTTGATATTATAGTCATTTCAATAGTTGGGTTCATAAGTCAACTGAAGCTAAACCACAATGGAAAACCTGAAAGCACTGGATGACTGTTTTGTTCTAGTATAGGGTTCCTGAGCAGTGCGCATCCATGATTCCGCCTTGCAGGATTCGAGCCTACGACCAATCGGTCTCGTACGCGAACGCTTAATCTCTAGAAATTTTGTTTGTATGTGAAAACAGCTAATATATAAACTATAATTTAAACAGCCTCCTTAGAAGTAGTTTAATTTCTTTAATTGGTTCCCCGTTTTATGAGATGTTTACTAAATTAGTATAAATTAAAGGTCAAGATGAATTTCCTTAATGGAGTTTTGTTCTCTGAGCTGAATGGTTTAGTCATGGAGCATTGATCGCTCTTCTAAACTACGTTATCAGCACAAACTTCATGTAGAAGTGGAGTTTTCGAATTTTTTTTTTCCATATAACTCAGAGCTTGTCCTGTAGACCTCAATCTTGATTGAGTTCTGTTGAACATTAACCTGTGATTGTTAACTTCTTTATTTTGATTGTATCTCCTATTGATTTGATTATTGGTCCTATATTCGTCCATAGATTTGATTGACTTCAATGTGTTTATAGATTACTGACTGATTTGAGTGCCAAGCTTCTAAAAATTCTATGGTGTTTCCATATTTTTCCAGTCGAATGTATGTTCATAGTTGTCCACGTGTATTGATATAAGTGAAGACATGTCATGGCATTTGACCGCTAATTGATGTTCATGTAGGCGAAGATGAACAGGGCGTCCACTTTTTACGACGTAGTGTTTTTCGCAATTGGTACAATTTATTTTGTAGATAATGTTCGGATTTTCTTCTTTTATCATTTCGTCCTTTTGGTTTGCACAGGATTGATTGTAGTGATTTTATTGGTTTCAACAGTGTCATTGTAGTTTCTGATATACATTTTAATATTTTGGGACTCAGATCAATCAGAAATCAACAATCACAGTGAAATTAATCCAATTTCACTGGTTGAAATCATGAATCCATTGAAGCTAGACTATCATTGAAAACCTGGAAGCACTGGACGGCCGTTACGTCCTAGTATGGGATGCCGGCTCAGTGGTCTAGTTGATTAAGCGTCTGGCGCAAGATCGATAGGTCCTGGGTTCGAACCTCGCGAGGAGCGTGGTCGTGGATGCGCACTGCTGAGGAGGAGTCCCATACCAGGACGAAACGGCCGTCCAGTGCTTCCAGGTTTTCCATGGTGGTCTAGCTTCGATGAATTCATGATTTCAAACAGTGAAATTTCTAAAATCTTCACACAATCCCTTCTGATAATATTAATCCCATTTACCAACCAATCAGGAAATTTATGGGCAAAAATTGAACCATCGGGAGATACAACTTGAACAAAGAAGTAAACAATACTAAGTTTAAAGTCAACAAGAACCAATCAACATCAATGTCTATAGAACAAGCTATATGTGAAGAAATTCGAACACTTCACTTCAACTTGATGTTTGTGCTGATGAAGTTGTTGACACGAATGGGGAAAGCTCCATGATCAAACTATCCATTTCAGTTAACAAAACTCCATCCAAATCATCCATCTGTGTTACAAATCATCTGAACCATTTCAAAATGTAGATCAAAATATTAAAGACAAGCTCATTCAATTCTACACTTCAATATATCCTGCATAGTGATAAATTACATAACATACAACCACCACCACCCCCCTTTTAAAAATTCAACAGCTTCCATCTTGTAAATGAGATCTAGCACTTTTATCAACATATTTGTTAAATGATACGTTTATGACAAGCTTGTTTTACATTTGGGTGTAATTAGTCACGGAATGTTTATGAAACAAATAACAATTACCAATATACACTACTTACTATCGATTTGCATGATAAAAGTCATAAACAACGCCCGTGAAGATTCATAAATTGTATGTATAATAATAATAATACGAATAAGCTAAGGTGATGGGATGTATGAGAACAATGTATACATAAAGGTTTCTATAGTTAGAGTCATCTGTAATCAGATACTTAATAAAATGACAATCATGATCATAAAGTTTGATATCAGCTGTTGGATTCTAGTTCAGTGGTCTAAAGGTTAAGTGTTTGTGCGTGAGATTCAAGGTCGTAAGCTTGAATTCCACGTGTGGGGTTGTAGATGAGCACTGCTCAGGGGTAACATATCAGGACAAAACAAACATCCAGTATTTCTAGATTTTCAATGATGATCTAATATGGATCGATTCATGATCTCGATCAAAAAAAAAAATTGATATGATAACTTAGTTATAAGTAACATATTTATTTTTAAATGAAAGTCATGAGGAAGACGATGAAAATTGTTCTACTGGTACATAGATCATGGTTATTAGTCAATGTCATGTGAAATACAAATGTCTACTCCTACAACTTCATATTGTGGTGATGAATCATCCTTCAGGGCCTCTTGAGGCTCCGTTGCAGTTCTCGGAAAGCCGACTCACTACCCCGCCCTGAATAAGATTTCTTTCTAGGATCTACTTGTAGTTTGACAACTGGGTTGTGGCGGAGTCCTTTTATTCTTGTCGTCTTCTTTGTCCGAGGCTTCTTTTCAGTGTCCTTCGGCATATGTAGCGTTGATGTGTCTTAGATTAACTCTAACGGAAAATTCGGCTGGTTATTTTGAGTATGCATCGTTCTTTTGTTCTTATGGATTTGATTCGTATGTTGCATACATGTTCCGAAAATTCCTCGGACTCTGTACAGAACTTTTCTCAATTTTTGTATAACTTTTCCTGGCTTTCATCAGTTCTTCCCGATGTAGGATTTAATGAAAACTTCGTCGCCAACATTAAAGTTCCGGATATTTGGATGGTTAAATAATTCGCGATGTATTCAGTGAAAACAGGATGAGACTATAATTTATGAATGAACCAATCATATTTAAGACAACGGATCTTGAATTTTGGCGCGAAATTCACTCACACATTTAACCAAATATCGTCTTGGCATTTCAGCTGATGTCATTTCATGATGAAAAACCGCGAATCTAATCCATGTTCCCAACTATTGTATGTGAATCTTAATTTTTATTCTTAAAACTGCTTTATAATCCTCATTTAGCCCTAGTAAGTAGGTAGACAATCTCAAGGTCACTTTTGTGTCACTCGAAGGTTGTCCATAAATTATGGTCTCCATAGCAACTGGAAACAACTGGAAAGGATTGCCTATGACAGAGTTCGATGAAGAATCCTCTTAGGTGACCTATTTTCTTCCACTATGTGTTACAGGTATAATTATGTAAGTAATGAGTTCTTACTCAGTGTACAGGATACGGTCGTGTATGCTTGATGTAAACAATAACATTATACATTCGCAGTATTGATTTAAAATTCTATATTACATTATTAGTATGCCCTCAGATATGTTGATTATATTTACAATTGATAAGTTAACCATGACACTGACGTTACACACTACTTGCATTATAAAGCCAAATAGTATGTAATCTTTAAGTAATAGCTATAATTGTTACATAAGGGCATAATATATGGTGGAATCAACAAAGAATTTATTCTAATGATGGTTTTTATCAGAGATGAAATTAAATCAACCTACTAAATTTGTGTAAAGGTATTGTAGATCACCAACGTAGATGATGTATGTCGAATGATTGGGGGCCTACTTGAGTTTGACAGGAATGGTGTAACCGACAAATAAAATTAAACTCACACCTCACGGTCAGCCTTTCACGTGAATTAATCCTATGGCTGTTTTGAAGACCATAGAACACAAAGAATGCTAGTATGGAAATATATTAGTAAGAATAAGTACAAGTGAAAGTGTAACCACTATCGCATGGGCCAGTTCATGGAGTATGATTAACTAATGCGCATTGGTTGTCCCTGACCTTGACGAGGTAAGTCAGTCGGTCAGTCAACTACAACCTAGGACCAGACACATATATGAATCGGCCGTAGTTGCTATACCGCATTAGCACCGCAAGATGAACACCGGATTCACAGGAGAGGTTAAGTCAGTGGTGGTGATATATAAAGGAAATATTTAATATAAAGATATAGTACAGGAAGATAGAATTAGTTCGTAGAAAGAAAAATATGAAGCGATTTCAATCCCTTAGTTTAAAGAAAGACGAAAAGTTTATACACCTACACCATTGTGATAGATCCAGAGCCATGTCATCAAGAGTTTCCAACCATTGGTTACGACAGTCACGCGGGCCCCAATCATGTAGTCTGCGTCTACCAACATGGCTCATACTAGAAGTTAGTGATTCCATTGACTGATGCCTCGTTTTGGTTTGACTGCCCCTAACTTTCTTCCAACCATCCCCAATACCGATTAGCATTACACGTCGTGATAATCGGTGTTCAGGCATACGCAGCACGTGGCCTAGCCTTGATTTGTTTGATACTCACTGACTCAACTGCCGGATGATTTGGCCAAGGCTCACTGACATTTTACTAGCGCTACGGTGCAGTTTGAAAAGCATTAACTAGACTTGGATATTTGATGGTAGGGCGTGTTAATATATGTGCTCACTAGTGACCAGTTTTGTGAGGAAATTCTCGAAGTTCTGATGAAAGGCCGAGACCAATTGAGCTAATCCATGTCAGGTAGATACACGTATCTACCTCATTACAATTGAAGATGTTCGCGGATTTTCGTGAATTGTTTGAGGTTAGCCATTAACACCGTTGGATACTGGCCAGCTCACTGATCTTGAGGTTAAGCTTTAGCACACGATACCGATAGGTCTTGGGTTCGAGTCTCATAAGTGGCATTGTGGATACGCACTTCGTAGGAGTTCTATAATAGGACGAAACGGCAATCAAATGCTTCCAGGTTTTAATGGTGGTCTAACATTAATTGATTCATGATCTCAATCAAAAAAAGGATACATATAAAGTTTAATTGAAAAACACTTACTCATCATAATCTATTTGTC